AAAGTAGGGTTGACTGTACATCTATCATATATGACAAGGTACTTGCTTATATCATAATTAATGTACATCATTTATATACAGGTTGGACCTCGCTAATCCGGGAAGCTTGGGACCAGACATGTTCCGATTAGCAAAAATCCCAACCATCAAATCCAAAGTTAAAAATAATAATAATGCATAAAATGTACTATTACTGGTACCAATACAACTTACATCAGCATAAATCTACCCCAGGCTTACTGGACCTCTTTATGACTAAGTGTTAGTGCTATGACTAAGCAGGACAATATTATTTGCCCAAAATAAATTCCAAAATTAAAATATTTCAGTAATCAAAAAAAGACAAAAATTTTTCCTAAGATATGTCCGCCTTCACCCAACATTTCAAAGTGTCAGCATCGCGGGATGCAGGTGCCCAAGAGTTATCAATTATTATTGTTTTGGGAATATTGATTCATTCACTCTAGTAATGATACAATGTTGCTTCTATGTTATCAGAGGGTAAATGCATGGTTTATATAATTTGTTTATCACTGAGCCCATCACCATTTTCAAATTAGACTACAAGATATATATTTCTCTCATAATGCACAGTATTTTGATCATACAACTGGCAACAGGAGCCTGGGAACGAGTGAGTGACCGCTAGTTACAGCTTCGTTGCAGTTGTAACTCTCCTCCTCTCTGCCATATTTCACTGGATTTACTGTTGTTATTAGTGTTTACCGATATAATAGAGCTTAACAGTGATAGTCATGTACTGTACAGTAGCTAGGTTATATCAATGTACCAGGCTGCTGGGCCAAGCTGTGGTGTTATGGTTGTTTTTCAACTCGTATTTTCGGTAGATATACATAAGTTTCTTAATTTACTTTTACTCAGTAACACGCTGTCCCGATAACGTTGTTTCACTATAACATCGCTATTCTTTAGATACCCATGATTTGGATGTCACGCCGATTCAGTATAACGTCGCCACGACTACTTTATGCACATCACCCTCTCTAACTTGCGCTCACGCCTCACCCTGGAGTGTCACGGCGCCCCATGTGATGCCAGTCTTTGTTAAGCTACCACAGCGCTCATGTATGCTTTAAGTGTTTTGCTCTTAATACTGTTCTGTAACCATTCAAAATGGCTCCAAGAGCCCATCAAGTGCTACTGATGCTAGTGTTGGAAGAAGCAACGTAAGACAATAGCCTTGCTACAGAAAACGGAGATTTTTAACTGGAAGGAGTAGCCACTCACCGGTCTCAGTGACTCGCGCTCCTCCTCCTCCCACTACCCACCAAACACCTCCGCCCATCAGTGAGTACAATACAAAATTATTTAGTTTATTTATATATACAGTATACAATATTTTTTTTTAAATAACATTGAATTTCTGTATATGTAATGTATTTATGGGGCAAAGGGAGGCTCAGGAACGAACTACTGTATTTTATCTATTTCTTAAGGGGAAAATTGATTTGTTAACGTTGCCTCTCATAAAAGTCGAGGTTTTCAGGAATGGAACCAATGACGCGTTTAGGACTTACTGTATTATTTTTATTTATTCCTCACATTTCCTGGTATTGCTGTATGTGATGTCAAATTGAGGGAGAGGGAGGAGGGAGGGAGAGCTCCTCAGTTAACAGGCAGCTCATTTTCCACCCACACACACCCATGTTCTTTTTTTTTTTATTTTATAGTTTTATATTTTATTTTTATTTCTAAGCCACAGAGTATTTTAATGATTTTTCACAACTTTTATAGCAATAATGCACAGTGATGGTTGTGAAATGTGGCACAGTGTGTGTGTGTAAGGCATGCGGAGACATCATAATGCAGCTGGAGTGTAGTCAGCCACTCCACACAAAACACCCATGCTCTTCATGTCTTAGTTTATAGTTTTATATTATACTACAAGTGATCACGGAAAGTCAACGCTAGTGACAGCGTGACAGCATAATGAGGTGCTCCAAGTCCCAGACTTGCATCGCTTTCCATCAGAAATAAAATGGTTAATTAATGCCTTCCTAAAACCATCGGCATGGACCAGGTTTGTTCCACCTACGATTGTTTTACATTTTTCCACCAAGTTTGATGAAAAGCGATTGTGCCGCTTCGCCCAGAACAGACACAACAAACAGACAGACAGACAGACAGACAGACACATGGCTATTCCTATAGTATATTGATTTTATAGTTTTATTTTACATTAATTTTATTTCTACCCAGTATTAGAGTATTATAATGATTTTCCCAAACTTTATAGCATTATTATTGACTTCATTGTGAACATAGCCTAATTTTTCCATAAGATTAAGTATTCACTATATGCAGATTCCCATTATGCTGCTTCTCTACAAAATGCAACCATCGATACAGTAGATCAGCAGAGCGAGAACACTGTATAATATAGCCTACTGATACCATCTCAACTATCGGGCTGCCAGAGTATCAGGTTCCGGATTAGCGGTCCAACCTGTACAAGATTACTGAATTCCTCTGGCATCAAAGAAGTCTATAATAAAGTGAATGAGGTTATCTATCTAGCCACCTATTTATCAATTTTTCTATCTTAAGTGCAGCTATTAATCCATATGAAGGAAGATAACATACATACATTCCATCTTAACTACAATAGGTACAAACCACCTCTACACCACAGACTAATAAAACAACTGAAAAAATATGATCAAGAAAAGAGCTGTTAAGACTGAGATCAACGTCCTTACACAGTTTTATAGCAAGAGAGGATGATATCTCCAGGGTCACACCTTGTGGGAGTGATTGGCTCTAGTGTGTGTAGGATTCCTCTCCCCTACAAGCACCCAACCTTCTTGAATTCCCCAGCCTACACCTCCAGCCACACGGAGCGGGGGTCAACTATCTACCCACGCCTGCCATATATGGCCTCCGACACCGCTGTACCAGCCTCTCTTCTACACAGTGCCACCAGCCAGCAACACCCTCCTCGTCAGCCTAGCGGGCTGCCGCCTCAGCCAGCAACCTTGGCATCCCTCAAGCCGCTGTCCTCCCTCTGGGCACCCTCACCACCCAGTCTCTAATGGAGTTATTACCATGCTACCTACCCAGCAACAAGCTACATTGTACATCCAATACAATATGTATACAGTGAGCACTTTATTTCCTTTCTCCATCCCACCCTGAGTGTGAACCCAATATCACATAACCCTACATTGCACTACTACAGTATAAAGACTAATACCCTCAAACCCTACCTGCCATCTTATGGGTAGTGAGTCCAAAACATTATCAGTTTCTTTTTTTTACTTTGTATGATTTTAACATTCATTTAACCTTTGTCTTCAGCTCTGTCTATTTTACCCCCCCCAATCTGTAGGTATTAAATAAATTATTAATAAAAGTAAATTGACCTCATAAATTAATTAAAACAATGATTAAATAATTGTAAAACTTTTTAGTTAATTCTTTGATTCTTTTACTTTCTTAGTGGTATCTACCAAGTACTGTCAGAGCAAAACAAAGCCTTTGACATTAAACACAGTAAGAGTTAAAATAAACAACCACATAATAAAGATTGAAACATGGAATGAGGACATAGACATTACAGTATATGACGAGCAAATATGCAAATATTTGTATGGAAACGAATTGGAATGGGATATTCTGGGATTAAGTGAAGTAAGAGGGACAGGTTCAAAGAGCATTAGTGGTGAAGATTCTTACTTCAGGTGGTATATGAAGTGTTGGTATTCTTGTTGAAATACTGTAGTGTAAAGGATATTGGGCAATGTCAGATAGAGTTTTGTTAGTCAAGTTTAATGCTAAGCCATGAACTTGGTAATAACACATCTATAACAAATAATTAGGATGAAATCTCTGAAATTTGATTGATTAGAACGCATAAAAACATCGAAAAGTTAAAAAAGTCTCATTATAATGGGTGATTTTAATGCAAAAATTGGGAGAAATTAGGACATGGGTTGATGGTAAAATGAGGAGAAATATTAATTGCTTTGTAAAGAAAACAAGATGATAATACAGTGGTCCCTCCATTAATGAGCCCAATTGGTTCCACAGAGTCACCGTCAACTGAAAATCTCGTTAACTGAATCTATTATTTCAATGGGATAATGGTAATTTGGGTCCAACTCACAGAATTCTTAAAATTAATTAAATACATACAAAGTACTGTATACTGGTAATAGAATTAACAATAGTATTTGGAATGGAATGTGCATGTAAATGAGTAAAAATAAATTTAGAAAGTTATATATCTAACACAAATATCGGGTTAAAGCTTGTACTAAAATGTACTACACTTTTAGGACTAAAATATTTAACTCTTTTGCAAATATATGATGTATACATTAATTAATTCTTTGTCTTTAAAGTTCCAGCAATGTAATTTATATTCTGCTAATTTAGTCTGTCATTTTATAAGCTAAAAATTTAAGCCTAACTACCTACCCTGTTTGAATGTTTGGAGGCTGTAGCAGAACCCCCAAAATTTTGTCCTAATCTTCGAAATCCAGGTCCAGATTTTTTATTTAAACCAATATTGCACTGAATATTATCAATATGTTAACTAAATTTCAGAACCAATAACTTTAATGTAAAATGCAAATGAGCACAACTTTCTCGATCTTTGCTCCTGGAAACAAAGGTAAACATAGATCCAATTATTGGCAAACCAGTCGATCAGCTGATCATTACAAACCAAAAAGTGTTTCTCCTAAATGAGCTGTCGTAATAAATTTACACTTGTTAAACGAACTGAAAGTCCTTACGGAGCTAACTCGTTAAATGAAATCTGTGAAATTGAACCGCTCATTAACGAGGACACACTGTATTGCAAACACATGGTTTGGAATAACACCCTAGGCATCTATACATGGGTCTCACCCCGAGCAATATAACAACATAGTCAGGAATCAAATAAATTACATTTTAGTTCAGGAAAGATTCAAATTCAATAACTAGACAAGGCCCTATCATGGGGCAGATTGTGGACGGATCAGTCTCAGTACCAGGCCGAACCTCCATGATCCAAGATTCTGTGGTCCAGCACCACCGTGGTTCAGTATAATTTTAGCTTGTGAGACAGCGTAGAGTTCTGTGGTTCGACACAAAGTCTGTTTACATCCAATGCGCCTGGCTACAGGTACAAACATCGTGATTCATATTTGTATAGTATAATTTCATTGTTATTTACCCTAATATATGGCTCCAAGAAGTGGTGGTGTTGGTAGTGTGTAAGACTAAACACACATATCTATATATGTACAACAAAAGTGGATTTTCACAAGGTGGACAAAGAGCAAATCAATTTGACTACTGTTGATATCAACAGTTTATGACATTAGCAAAAAGTGAAACCCTCAAGTTTTATGCACAATGAAGTAAAATTGATGGATATCTATAAAACATTGAAGGAGAAAAGGCAGATGATTTAGATAGCACTCTTATATAATGGTTCAAGCTTCATTGGACTGTCAGTATCTCCTCTTTCACGGAGAGGTAGTGAGCACGAGCTATTAAGTTCAGGCAAGGGTTAAACAAGCAAAATAATATAAAATAATCACAGGAACAATAACCTAATAGATGACATCTACCCCAGGTGTCATCACAGCCAAGACTCAGATGCCATCACAGTCGTAACCCTATATAACCACAGATGCAATTACAGCTACTCCTTAACTTCTACTACTCCGACCTACAACCACCCGGATATCGGCCTTGTCAGTCACATTCAAAATTTTGTCCAAATGACCGTTTTGAGTCCCACGTTATGATTGTGCTGTGAACTGACAAAAAAAATTTTAATTCACTTTAAAATGGCTGGGCTTAAAAGTGAGAGTTTTATGGTGCTGAGAAAAAAGAGACACCTATTATAAATTTTCTGTATTATTTAAGCATTTTTTCAACTTATGACCAATTGGACTTCGACCTGGATTTGGAACCCAACTTGACAGTAAGTGAACAGCTGTATAATGTAATTTTGGTCTGTATCAAATCATTTTGAATGCAGAACCTGGCATCATTTTAGGTGATGTACATTTACTTTTATTGGGAGGGTGAGGAGGCTTTATTTGCTTAAATTACTTGTGTCTTGAATACTTTATATTACAGATTTTAAAATAAAAATATTTTTTTTCATATTTGTTTTTATGCTTTCTCTTATTTCCTGTGTAAATACCTGTACATTAACCCTGAAAGGTCTGACATATTTCCAGAAGACACCCGGTAGGGTCTAATGGCATCAATCTATTCATTTCTTTTTCCATGAGAGGCTATTATTGTACCAATAACTCATCCCTCTCACCCACACTTCTCATCCTGCATCCTAAGTAAATAATCAGTTTAACAGTTGTTTGCCATGGAGGAAAGTCATGCATCTACCTCTGGGATTTGAGAATAAACCACTCCAAGCAAGTGAATGTACTAATACAGTTTAGTGTACTAAATAATAGGAACATGAAGGTATTGTGATTCATGGAGGAGTAGGTAGTGCCGATCACTCAGATGTCACAAATGCTTTACTATAATGATGCGTCGAAGGCACTCACCGACCTTCTCCAACTCGTTAACAACCAAAGGTGTGAATACAGTAATAATTGTCATTTCCTATTGAATAACATATTATGTCTAACATTTCATAAGACTAGAACATTCATTTTATGATTTTCATTTTAAGCCTTTATTCAATTTCTGAGAACTTCCAAATTTGTCAATACCTTTGAGGTTAAAATTGTGTAACAACACAAACACTTTATTTTATGAAGGCTTATGTTGGTGTTCTGGTACCATAATATATTGACGCCTATGCTCAAAAAAATTCTCTGGTTGGCTACCAGTCACTTCAAGGTGCTGGATCAGGGAGATAACTTCGTGATGTTCAAGTATCCAAGAAATAGAGTAACTGAAGCAGTTAGAAATGCCAGATGTAACTATTATACAATAAGCTCCGTCAGCATCAGGCGACAGTAAGATGAATGTCATAAATTCTATTCAGAACATGAACCTCAGTCTTGGCCCCCACTCAGCCTTTGTAATAAATGATTCAGTTGTACGAACCCTCCTCATTAACCTTCAATGAATATTTTATTAATGCTGGCAAAAATCTTGTGAGAGCATCCTGATCACCAGAATTTAGAGCCTACCTGCAAAACGAAAAGCAAAATGAGCTGTTCTTATCCACGTCACAGCAGATGAATTACGCCACCATAAAATGTCCAAAGATGCAGTAATAGCCGACGACAATACAATGAGCATCATTAAGAAAGTAGCCTTATTACCTGTTCTCCTACACATTTATAACTCTCCCCACTAGTGGTGTCTTTCCGGGTAAACTGAAAATTACCAAAGTATAAGCAACATATAAAATCTGGGACAAGGTCTCTTCAAGAATTACACTTCCAGTCTCAATCCCAGGTAAGATACTACAGTACTGGAAAAGCTAGCATGCACAATAGACTAATTCCCTCTGCAATGCCAATAACATCTTTACAGACTCCCAGTTTGACTTAGAACTAGAAGGTCACTAGGAGTGCTCTGCTATCCTTCTACTAATGACATCTTAAATTCCTTGATGACAGTCAGTTATAATCGGTATATTCTTAATCGTCTCTAAAGCCAATACTGTCCATATCATCCCTAAAGCTTGATCATTAAGTGAGACTGTCCCACATTCGTTTACATCATCTATCCAAGGATGTATTATGTCTGCTATAATAATCACCAAACTGCTCACCCAATCTTGTATACAATCCCCCAAGTTCCATTCTCGACAGATACTGTCTTTGTTGTACATAAATGACATAATCCACGACTCACTCATAAATACAACTAATTTGCAGTGATAGTAATCTCTATACTACAACTCAGACCTCCATTCCTGATGAGAACTATGAACACTGAATTAACTAAAGTCAGAACCCCAATTCGTAATAAACTGACCTTAAACCTTGAGAAAACCCAATACCACGATCTTTCCAGAAGGAAAAACTTACCCCCAGACTTGGACCTCTTACCTGGTAATACAGTCCTCAAGCAGAACAAAATACCTAAATTCCTCAGTTATTGTTGATAGAAACTTAACTGGAAACCACATACAAGCTATTCACAGTGAAGTCAATAAACAGTGCAGTATCATATATCACTCGACAGTCACTCACTCTCAGCAATAAAAATCTATTATGATCTTGTTTATTATACAACTGTCACACTATGGGGCCTCTGGCTCTTCAAAAACAATCTCTAGTTACTGCAGAGTTGCATGGACAATGACTCCATGAAAAAAAAACAGATCACAAATGAAAAATTTGCTATATTGAAATTTTAAAATTCAAAGATATTAACACCTACTGCGTGCCCTCTTTGTTTACAAATCTATCAATCACTTGTGACAATAATTATTTCCAGTTCGAATAACTAGAGATACAACTTACGGCACCCAGAGCTACTAAGACCAGCCCCATAGTACTAGTCCCAGACCTCCATGAAATATCACGGTGTGAAGGTGTTGAACAACACCCATCCGACAAAGCCTATGTCCCTTCAAATCACCTCTTAAAAAATATCTATTGTCTAAGTATTAACACTTTGTAACACTTACTATATTTTCAGTACCTGCTTTTATTGTACCATCAAAACCATTTTATGAAATTATCATGTAAATAGATTAGTAATTACCATTGCAGTAAACATAATTGCCAACTAGACATAATCTTCGACAGCTCTGTCCTCTAGTTCAACTTTATTACTGTACAACCCAGGTTGTACTGCTCCCATTATACTTATGTTTCAATCCACTGTAATTTATGTACAGTATATATAAAAATAAATAAATAAATAAACTAAAAAAATAATAAATACAGTATCCCGATTTACGAGTCAATTGAAACCAAGGGTACCGCGGAAAGTGAAAACCGCAGAAGTGAAAACAGAACATACACGGATTAATTCCAATAGAGATCGACCCCTAACTCACTCTTTTTGACTACACAAAATTATGTTATAGTAAAAATATTATCTAACTTATGATGGTATGGAACACAATTAATATAGAGGTTAGTAGGAAAAATAGTTTGTTTAACACTTACGCAGAAGAGAGGTCGCATACGGGATGGAGGCTGGTTCCAGGCAGAGGGCAGATTACTGCCTCAGGTGAATCACCATCACTAGGTGAATCACTATCACTATCCGCCATAGTTGTCAAGGCCTCCGACAAATCTCAAAGTCACCTTCACTGTCACTATCACTGGCCTGGCTGGCTGTGGGTGAAGAACCGCATGCTTGACGGCTACTGTTGATGTTGTCTTGATACACCTTGATGTACGACCTCCGCCTGCACCAGCCGGGAGAAGAATCATAGGGTCATCGTCATGGTCATTGGAAAGGAAGAGCTTCAATTTCTCTGCACACTCTGATGGCACCTTAACATTACTATCGTTAACTTGTGTCTTCTGGGGTTGACGCACCACCTGCCTCTTCACTGACGGATCATCTTCCAACATCTCAGCCGGCAGTCATTTCAGGATCTCCGATCACCTCTGGTAGTTCGTTGCAGCCCGGAGAAGCTCGCCAATACTGTGCGCAGCTTCTCAAGGTCCAATGCCACTGTAACAGACTGAGCTCACCACCGCAGGCTGACTCGCCTCTCACCTGGGATACCATGCAACAAATGCCTCCATGCGTGACGAATCATAGCTACAGACAGCTGATCCTGCCTCCACCCAAGAAGTCCACAGCTTGTTTGACGTTAATTTTTTCCAAAACTGTTTGACGAGAACTTTTGATTCACCACCTGTTGTTCCTTGTCCTCGCCCTCGCGCTTTTGCTCGCTATCGGTGTCACCCAGGTTATACAACTCATCCTTGGTGTTGGTACAGTCGTTCAGAGCTTAAACTTTTTGCAGAGTATGCAGCTTCACATTGCATATCAACCCTGGTCCAATGGGCTGGATTAATGTCGTAGTGTTGAGGAAGGAAGACCACTTTACCTTGGGGTGATGATCCATAAGTAGTGGCGAGGTCCTGGCAAGTTGTCAAGGAGCAACAAAATTTAAATGGAACATTCTGTTGCTCGCAGAATTTCTTCAAGTCGAAACTAAACAGTCATCAAACCAGGAGAGTGACAGAGCATAGAACATCCATGCCTTCGTGAGGTCAGC